AGTAGTCATAGAGGTAGTAGTTGCGTAGGAGTACAAGTACTAATACTGCAGTGGTGCTAGGGGGTAGTAGTAGAAGTAGTAGTAGCAGTAGTAGTAGCAGCAGAACAATGGATAATAGTAGTAGTGACAGTCGTACCCGTAGTACTTGTAGTAAGAGTAGTAGCGCTAGTAGTAATACAAGCTACTGCTACTACTACTACTACTACTACTACTACTACTACTACTTCTACTACTACTACTACTGCTACTACTACTACTACGGCTATTACTACTACTACTACTGCTGCTACTACTCCTACTACTACTACGACTACTACTACTACTACCACCATTATTACTACAACTACGACTACGACTACAACTACGACTACGACTTCGACTGCTACTACGACTAATACGAAGATTTAGAGGACATTCGGAATACGTCTTGCATAATCAGTACAACTGATAGTAATAGTTGGTCTCAATCGTAGTAGTTGCACTAATGATACCGTTCGCAAGACGACTACTCCAATGACTTCTGCAACGCAATGGGGAGCAATCGTAATAGGCCTAATACATGTTCCTCCTGTTCCTCCCCCTCCTCGCCACTGTCGAGGGTTGCTGGGGGCTCCAGAGGAGTGCTCAGCAACGGCCTGTGCAAGGGTGCCAGGATAACGCATCAGGGTGCTTCTTGCGTTATGATGTCTCAGGAAGGGAGGGTGGATTGCTTCATAGGGCTGGGTCACCTGACTTCGCGCATCGCGCCCGGCGACGCGCGGCGCGCCATCATCTGCGCACCCTCGCGCCCCCGAGCCGTCCCCTCGGAGACCTGGCCCACACCGTGGTGCGCGGAGCGCGATCAACCTCGCGCCCCCGCGGGTGAGTTAGAGGTCCGCGCGGATCTCCAGAAGATCATGATCATGCCGACGTGTTGATCTTCGGCCAGGATCTTCACACCTACCACGGAAAGCTCGGAGAGCAAAACAATGTTCGTAAAACAATAACAATGCTGTTATAACATAAGCCGATGCGTTGACAGTATCTTGGTTCAGCCAGGAATGCTTAAACACCATCTCGCGCAAACCAACATGTTTTTAGAACCAAATCTGGTGGGACTCTGGGCAGGTCAGGACGCTTGCCCACTGCTTCATGTTCCCCCTCTCTCCATCTCACTTCTCATCCAACCCCAACAATACAACACACGTGTTGAATGCGACTACCATCTCTCCCCTCACCATGTCCGGGAGATGCTCGACCCTCTCCGCGTTTCGTTAGTTGACATGTCCGTTTTCATTAGTTGCTGGTTCGTATGGTTGTTGTTTATGGTCCGATTGCTTTTGGTGTTTCAACCTGGGGCTCACGCTACAGCGTGGGCCTCAATTTCGGATCGGCGAGTGGCTCCCATCATTCAGAATGGCGCTCTCACCCCAGCGCGGGCCACTGTTCTGGATTCGCGTCCTTTTCCATCATTGCCGCCCCCCTCAGTTTCCCTCCTCTGCCTTCCCCACTTCTTCCTGCTCCTCCTGCTTCTTCCACTCCAGCTTCTGCTGGCGCTATTCGTCCTCGTCCTCCTCCTTCTCCTTCTCCTTCTCCTTCTCCTCCTCCTCCAGTGTGGGCGGCTCCCTTTTTTTCCGATCGCACATAAGACGATAGGGGTCCTCTTTGGAGTCCCAGGCCCGCTATGACACGCAGTGGCAGAGAGAAAAAAAAGCGTAGTGGGAGGGGTTGGGTGGTAGGGGTAGAATGTCAGATATGGCGCGGGCGCCCCCATCTTGCCCTCTCCCCCTCTCCCCCATCCCTGTTCTCTCTCCCTCTCCCTCTCTATCCCGCAGGGGCTCCCTCCTGATCCTGGGACGGGACGTCTGTTCGTGTAGGCATCTGAAAATGACATATTCCACGGCGATGAAGTATGCGTACCGCGTCTGGTGTTGCGCGCTCTTCATCGGCATTAGCGTGTTTATTCCACATCTGGGGCCTCTTGGCACTTGCATGCGGTCGCTCAGCGCTGAGTGTGGCTGACGCCTGCATCGGGTAGAATTTCAGTGACGTTGGGTCTGGTATGAAATTCGTGAAGCACCTTGCTGTGAGCGAGCATTACCTCCCCGCTGCTGCACGCCAAATGCATCTTCGGCCTCGCCCTCAGCATTTTCGCCTCGATGCTCGAGGTGCCCAAGGCACGAAGAGGTGGCATTCAAGGGGCGATGATCTGTGGAGGCTCTCTCCGTCGCTCGGACGTCCATTCCCTGTGGTTTTGTTGGTTTCGCGCGTGTTTTCCTTGTTCGCAGGATGATCCAGGATGCTCCTTAATAACCCCCGCCGAGAAAACGTGCACACGTCCGAGCGATGCCACGTCCCCTCTCCCCCCCCTCTCGTTCCCTCTCTCTCCCCCTCTCCCTGGTCCTCTCCTTGCCGCCTCGGAGCGGGCGCGCGCCCGGCCGCAAGTGTAGGCCCAGCCGCGCGGCGGGCGCGGGTGCTCGATGGCTAGTCTGGTCCAGGCTTCAGCGGCGCTCTCGATGGTTCTCCGCCCCGCTGCTGTCAAGCTCCCCAACTGCCGAGATCTAGTGTTTGGCGACGGTGCCGCCTCAAAGTATCCTGGATGCAAAAGATGGAAGCTGGTGAGCTGTTTTTTGGACACGGCGCCTGTGGTGAGCTTGTGAGTGTCCTCCGTGTGTGATCGAGACTGGGCGAGGGGCTGGAATCGCTCGCTGACGACAACCAATTTCTGCATCGCATCGATTGACTTGACGGTGGCATCGTAACCAACTTCCCCACGGAACAAAATCCGCAAAATATCAGAAAGCAAGAATACGCCTACTGGAAAGGACTATTACGCACTCGATGGTTGCCAGCGTGGGCCCAAACCAGTGAGTTACTGAACCCTCGGAAACGCAAGCCACGTGGTGCAGTGGCAACGAGGCGGAAGCGGGCGGCAACGCGGCAAATCCTCTGCATACCCCAACAGGCGGCAATTGGTGGCAACGTGGCGAATCCTCCGCATAGCCCACAGGCGGCACCAGGCGGCAACATGGCGGTGTTTCAAAATGGTGCTCCCGCTGCAGCCTGGGCTTTCTTTTAGGATCGGTGCCCCATCGTTCAGAATGGCGTTCTCGCCTGGGCGCGGGGCACTTTTCTGGATGCGAGTCCTTCCTCAGCGTTGTCTCCCCGCTCCTTTCCCCTCCTTCGCATTCCCCTGGACCTCCTGCCCTTCCCGCTCCTCCCCATCCTCCTCCCGCAAATGCTACTCTTTCTCGTCAGCTGGCCTCTTCGGTCTCCTCTTCCGCATGACACGATGGGGACCGGTTGGGGGTCCACGTCCGCTGGCGAATGAAGAAACAACGACGCAGTGGGAATGGATGGGTGGGGGCCGTAGGACATCATTCATGGCGCGAGCGCACCTAGCTTGCCTTCTCACTTCTCTCCCTCTCAGTTCTCTGCCTGTCCGTCTTCCTCTCCCTTCTTCCTCTCCCTCTTCCCTCCCTTCTCTCTCTTTCTCTTTCCCTCGAGAACGACGACCATTGCCCTCGTACCGTCGACGACGCCGAAGAGGACGACGACGACGACGACGACGAGGACAAGGACTACGATGACGAGGAGGAGGGAGGAGGACGACGACGACGAGGACGACACCGACGACGAGGGCGCCTTCGTCGTCTCTCGCGAGCCCCCTCCCGCCCCTCTTTTGGCATGATGCAAGCGGGTCCCGAGGCAAGCGGGCCCCGTGGCCATCCAACCTCGGGACTCGTCTTCCTCGGGAACCCCCCTCCTTCATGGCGACCCCTCCCCACGTGGAGGCCCATCGGGCTGGTGGTGGGCCACTCCCGCGCGTGCGCCTCGGCGGCGGAACGCGAGGGGTGCGCCAGGCGCGAGGTGGAACATCGGCGGCGAGGGGCGGGCGAGCTGCAGAGCCTGGACCTCAGAGGTCCGACGCCTCGATGTCTCCACTGCGAGGGGGGCCCGGATGTCTCGACCCGGTCGTGGGGCCTGGCGGCGGCCGCCAGAGGCCAGAGGCAGCGAAAAACCTCGGCCTGGAGCTGTTCAGCGCGCCGGATCTCTGGAGCGGGGGGGATGGCGGCACGCCAGCGGTCGGCGAGCGCCGTTTGGCTTCCATGAGCGACTGTCGGTGGAGACCTCCGCGCGCCGACGCCGGCAGTGGGCACAGGCTCGGGCCGAGGCCGACGGGCGCCTCCTCCGCTGCAGGGCGTGCCGCGCTCATGCGACGCCTCCGCTCCCGCAGAGGCGGCGGGGGAAGCACGGTCTGTGGGCGAGCGCGCTCCCCTACTCGCAAGGTAACTACTCCTACTCGCACATGGCCTGGATCCGCCGCAGGGGTTCTACGATGCTCTACATCAAAACAGACATGTGTTTTTTTCGGACGTCTGCGAGTAGGCACTTTGCGAGTAGCGGAACGCGCTCGGTGAGTCTGGGTAGTTGGGGCGCGACGAGACAACTTGTGGACTACTCCTGTCTGCGAGATGTTCTAACGTGACCAGAAAACGCAACAGGGGTTGACTGGAGGGGACACGCGAGAGGACCCAAGACACAAGACCCGAGGGCAACCTTGCCGTAGCAATGCAATTAGCAGACATTCGCTGCGAAACACAGGACACAGGTGTGGTACCCTTGATCTGCCAGGATCGACCGATGTAATCAACCCCGACTGTGCCGCCTCTGCCGATTCGGGGAGAGAGGGGGAGCGGAAGGAGCAGGGAGGCGAGGCGAGGCAGGAGGCCAGGGGGGAAGCGGGGCGCAAGGGGCGGGCTTGAGGAAGAGATTGCCAGGGCGACTCATGGTCCGCAATTGCCCCATCGTGTCATGCCCGGGGGTCTCACCCCCCCCATGCGGGCGATGCTGCAATGTGTTTGTGTGTGGTGGCCTCCTCGGTGGTTGACAGCGCGCGGGGCCGCGAAGGCGAGCGAGCATCGCCTGTCTGCCTGGCCTGTCTGCCTGGCATGACTCGGATCTGATGTCACGACTTGGATCAGCCTCGACTTCCTCGATCCTCGTCTTCCTCGATCCCCGACTGCCTCGATCCTCCATCCTCAGATGGCAAATACCGACCGACCGACCTCCTCGTCATCTTCGACCCACTCCTACTCTACCCTTCGACGTGGGCGGTGACCGAGTGACCACCCTCCTCTTCCTTCTCCTCCTCCTCCACCTCCTCCTCCTCCTCCTCCGCTTCTACTCCTGGTCGTCTCCTCCTCCATTTGCCCCCTTCTGCCTTCTGAAGCGAGGATGGAGGAGGGCTGAGAATTGACGAAAGGGGGGGCATAAGGGAAACCGGGGGGGGGGGGTAAGCCCGAGCGCAAGGAGCCACAAAAGGGAGAGGGGACAGGTGCATCCCAATGCCTGGCACCCACGGGCGGGGCATGAGCTGGCGCCAGGAAGAACGATCCTACACAGCCTCGCGCGGAGGCATTAATCTCCCTCAGAGGCCTCTCCGACACAGCAGCCCTCACGCGTTCAGTGCCCGTCTCCCGGGGGCCGAGGACCAAGGAACCAGGGAAAAGACGGATGGCTCCTGCTGAGCCACATGGCCTGGCTCATGGCTTGGCTGGTGCTTAGCCGCATGGTGGCTCATGCTGAGCGTGGCTCAGCATGGGTCAAGGCGTTGCTCGTGGCTTGGCTCCTGCTAAGCCACATGTCCCGACAATCCCGGAGGCTCCGAGGCCAGCAAAACGGGGCAACAAGACGGGGATGCAGGTGATGCCGCAGCCGCGCCCCTCACGCATGATGCCCCATCCCAGTCACATCACATCATCCCCAGAGGGGGGAAAGCGGTCTTGCAACTGACGGCGGCCTTGTGAAGTGCCATGGCGGGATGCAGATGCCCCCCCCCCCCCACGAAGACTGAACGCAGTCAGGACGTGCGCCCAGTCGAAACCAGGGGAGGCGACGGAGGAGGGAGAACGGGGTGCCAGTGTTAGGTCGGGACGCCCGCCGTGTCAGCGACCAGCACGACCTGGAGGCACTGAGAGGGCTGACCTCGAGAGCCTGCCGCTGCCCACCCCTCCTCCCTCTTCCTCCTCCGTCCTCTGATCGATGATCCTCACGACGATGCCGCCGGAGCCCTTCGATGCCCATCGCGTGATGTGTTAGGACCGGGGAGCAGAAGCTGCCGCTGGCGGCGGAGGCCATCGCTTCTGGTCAGGAGCTGGTCGGGCGTATGAGCCCAGCCAGGCGGCCGCAGGTTGGGGCGGGCACCCTGTCCCAATCCCCACCGACTGGTGGAAGAAGAAATTGGTGTCTTCCTATATCTCCTCCTCCTCCTCACTTTCTCCTCTTCCTCCTCCTCCTCCTCCGTCTCCTCCGTCTCTTCCTCCTCTTCCTCCTCCTGGTCCTCGTTTCCTCTTCCGCCTCCTCCTCCTCCTCACGAGATGTTTTTCTTCGACGTGCCCCCGTCCGCTGTCAGCCCCCCGCTCTCTCCTATCGTTTCGTTGCGAGTGGTTGTCCAAATTTGCGGCACCGTTGCACGATGCCTCACAGCTCCGCTGGGCAGTGAAGGCGAGCACGGGCCGCGTGCTGTTGATGGTGCTGAAAGAGGCAACCACATACTGGGTTAACACACGTCCTGAGGATCAACGCTCAGGCACCTCTCTCCCCTACCCCTGGCCTGCCCCCTCTTCCCGCCGACTCGGCTGGGAGCAAGACGCGCCTGCGGTCTCCCCACAGCCTCGCGGAGGCCGCAGCAGCGACCGGGGAAACCAAAAAGGTACCGTTACTTCCCCAATCAGAGCTTGCCTCGATCTGCAGGGGTCCTAACGGATTCATGTGGTCAGGTGAGGTGGAGCCGATTTCGGCGGCACGCTCGGTTGCCCGGGTGCCCGGATGCCCCGTAGCCCTATAGCCCTATAGCCCTACGGCCCTATAGACTTATAGACCTATAGCCCTATAGCCCTGTAGCCCTATAGCCCTATAGCACTGTAGCCCTAATAGCCCTATGGCCCTATAGCCCTATAGCCCTGTAGCCCTGTAGCCCTGTAGCCCTATAGCCCTATAGCTCTATTGCCCTATAGCCCTATTAGCCCTAAACTATAGCCCTGTAGCCCCATTACCCTACAGCCCCATAACCCTACAGCCCTATATCCTTATAGCCCTATAGCCCTATAGCCAAATCGCCCTATAGCCCTATAGCCATATAGCCCCATAGTCTTATAACCCTAAAAAGATGTTGTTTGGGCTTCTCTCTGGTTGGAAATCGCAAATTGAAATGTGGCGACGGTGTCGCTTCACAGTGCCCTGGAGTCGAAACATTGAAAACGGTAGTCCTTATTTTGACGACGGCGCCTTCAGTGAACCACGAAGTGTCTTATGTGAGCCGTTCAGAACTTACAAGGGGCTGGGATAAGAATCGCTGGCCAACGAAAACCCAATTCTCGCATTGCTGAGGCCCACGGTGGCGAAAACGAGGCATCGTGCAGAAAGGCAACCGCAGCCCTAGACCCTCTTTCTGCAGCACTTTTCGAGGCGGATCGATCTGTGAGGGTCCCGGGGCCCAACACTGGGCGGAAACGCCCAGCTCGAAAAATCGAGACGCGATCTCGGGGAACGGTCCGTCTTCGAGCGCGCACCGCCGGCGGTGGGCGGGCCGGCGTCGGTGCCTCTGCGTGTGCAGCCTCGCGGCGGCAGCAGCCGTGGGGCCGGCGGCGGCGGCGGGGGGCGGCGGGGGGGGGGGCGCGAGGCGCCTCCGAGGGCAGGTCCACTAGGCAGTCCAGCAGCGCCGCCTGTGCGGGGGCAAGGCTGCCCGCGGGGCAGGTGCGGCGAGGGGGGGGGGCCACAGTGAGTGAGATGGAGGGATGTAGAGGAGGGGGGCGCGCTCGCCGTCCGGGCCAGGGAGGGGGATGAGGAGCGAGGAGGGGAGCGAGGGCAAGGAGGCGAGGAGGAGGGGGAGGAAGAGGGGGAGGAAATGATGAGGAGGAGGAGGAGCTGGGGAGGAGACGAGGAGGAGGAGGAGGAGACGAGGGTGAGAAGGAGGAGGAAGATGCTCCTCCGGGGTAGCAGACGACGAGCGGGAGACAGGAGGGACGAGAGCAAACCCGACACGCATCGCTGCTGCTACTGCTCTTCGCTCTCTCTCTCTCTCTCTCGCTCTCCTCATATATGTCTTGTCCTGAGAGGCCCCCTCCTCAAAGAAGAAGGCCGACGTGCGTGCGTCACAATCTCTTGCCGCTGCCGCGAGCGCCTTCTCTGTCCGACGCTGGCACGGCGGCAGGACAGAGATGAACTCGGCAGACGAGTCAGGAATCGTTGTGTCCCAAAATCGGGGAGACGTAAGACCCGGGTACGGGTGACTCGGAAATCCCCGACGAGGTCGTCAAAAAAATGACGAGGCCGAGCCTGCATTTTGACGAGGCCTCCCGCTGCAGACATCCCACGAAACTCCTCCTCGTCAAAATCCGAGGCGCGGTCGTCAAAAAACAATGGCGAACCCGAGTCCTGGCAAACCCGGGTCTTACGCTCCCCCGACAAAAGGCCAGGAGGATATACTGGAGGCCACGGCCGATCAAGAGTGCCCTTCGAAGTGTTGCAGACAGCCCTGTGACACTGCATCGTCAAACTGACGATACCCGATGACGACGGTGCCAAAGGCACCCCCGATTGCTCCAGGAGAGTGCGCGCACTCGTGTGGAGAGCCCCTCGGGACCGCCCAGCGACCATTGACGATCCTGCAGCGAGCATGCACCTCCGCACATGCAAGACCACTTAGACAAGAATGAAGCACACGACGTACGACTGAAACGACACAATGCTCTAGAGCGAGTCATGCCCATTATGCCAAATGCGGCTTTCAACAAACAAGAGCCACTTCATGCCTGGGGAGTCTGCTGACGGTGCACGTTCCTTACAAAAGGGCAACACCTCTCTTACAACTGAGCTCAACACCGCCCGGACAAGAGGGTTCCACAGCAGAGCAGCTCAAACAGGGCCCGAAGACCCCCTGAACCCGTAGGATTGCAAAGGACCCCCAACGATATCTACACTGAGCGCATTGTTTAATCAGACTCAAGCACAACTATGTAAATGGCATCCCATCTATTCTCCGCCGCCTTTTCAACAATGCCGAATCGGCATGAAACGTGTGCCCTTCAAGGACTCGCTGGGCCACGCCTTAACCAAACGGAAACGGGTCCTGAGGGAAACGGGCCCTGGACCCCGGGGACTCCCCCCCACGACCAGGTCATCTCGTTTTTTGACTGTCCCGGGACCCGAGGCTGGCCCCAGAAGCCGGAACAACAGCAGAACAGAGCACCACTCTCCTTCATGGGGAAGCCTCCCTTGACACCCAACCGAGCAGGCGAACCCGCCAAGAGCCGAGGGCAAAAAGTCGACCCCTGGAGGGTCAGCAGGGCCCCCGAGGCCGCGGACTGCCCCGAGCAAGCGGGACAACCGAACCGAGCGCCAGGCCAAGCCACCGAGCGCCGGGCACAGCCGCCCAGCACGGGCCCCGCCGAAGTCCCGACCCACTCCCTGGGAGCCAGCGCCTCACCCCGAGTCGCTCCCTGACGGTTCCCGCCTGCACTGTGAGCGCACCCCGGGGCCGTGAACGACGAAATGAGTCTGTCCTGCGTTTCTCATGACGTCGGATGTACCGGAGTGAGGGGGCAACGTCAGGGTGACCAGCTCCGGGAGGGCAACGTCGACCTGGAGCCGGCGGTACAGATCCGATAGATCGGCGACCAAGTCCCCGAGGGGGAGTCGGCACACTCCTGGGCGGGGTGGGCTTCGTCGGGCCCCTCTCGGCGATCAGTGGGCGAGTTGGGATCGATGCATCCGCTACGCCTATCGCTGCCGCTGAAGGGGGGGGGGCGGGGCGGCGGGGGGGCCTCGTAGAAGGTCGCTGCAGCGCCACCTGCACAGGGTGGCTGAGGTTGGGGTGCGGCCGCAGCGCCTGCACGCGGCGCGGCGGGGAGATCAGGCAGAGCAGCAACAATAGTTAAAGGAATTGCAGTTTCGACTAGACGCAAAACTGTCCCGAAGGAAAAATGACCTCTGCTGCGCGGCTGGAGGGGGCCGCGGGGCGCTAAATCCAAGCGTGCAGGCCAGCGCTGTGGGGAACCTAGTGAGCCCGCGCCAAAGGTCACTCTGGCGAAAGGTTCCTCGTACGCGTAGCCGACAGCTGAACTAGAAGAAACAACGTTGGCTACCAATGCAAACGCGGAAGACGGACCGCTGCAACGCTGGAGGATCAGACACGACGGCGGCCTCGGACGGCAGGCTCACCTCGTGCTGGTGGTTTCTGACGCAGCGTGGGCCATTGAAACATGAGCGGCTGGCGCATTCTGGCAATGGCGGCATTTTAAGGTTGGCCTGGTTCGACCCGTCAGTGGCCTTCACACGCCCGCGATGGCGCGTCAACGACGCGCCAACGCGGCGCGAACCTGCCTTATTACGCGTCCCCGTGTCAACATAATCGCGGCCTCATTCTGGCACGGGCCGGAAAAACGCCTGAGCACCAACTGGCACCAACGGGCGCCGCGCCATCTGAGAAGGTATCGCGCAAGCACGCACGCAGTTCTGTCCGCATGCGATATGTCAAGCGTGCACGGTGAAAAGAAATAACAAACACACATAGGGGTAATCCATATATATATATATACACTTGTAGCACCCCCCGCAGATGCGGATAAGAGTGAGGGGGCGGAGAGGACGTCGGCAGTTTGAGAGACTCTGGAGAAGCCCGCCGCAGGCGCCAAATATTCGCCGACCCTGTCGGCGTGTGTGAGGGGCTTCTCCGTTCGACTCGTCGCCTCCGTCGTCTCTGTTCTCCCCTTCCCAGGGCTCTCCTCCTCAAGCGCGCTATCCAAAGCGAAATTAAAACGACGTCGTAGTGGAGTCGAAGGGAAGCCCCTTCCCTTTGATCCCTTCCCCGCAGGGGGGGGGGAAGGGGGGGGGGCCCGGGGCAGATACGACGCCCGCCGGGGCGCACTTTCCTCGAGCGGGCACGCACGGGATGCACTTCCTCCTCCTCCTCCTCCTGGTCCTCCTCCTCTTCCTCCTTTTCCTCCTCCTCCTCCTCCTCCTCCCTCCTCCTCCTCCTCCTCCTCCTCCTCCTCCTCCTCCTCCTCCTCCTCCTCCTCCTCCTCCTCCTCCTCCTCCTCCTCCTCCTCTCCTCCTCCCCCTCCTCCTCCTCCTCCTCCTCCTCCTCCCGCAGAGGCGTCCCGGGAGCGGGCCCCGAGTCAAAATACCACCCCCCTAGGGCGCATTTTCCTCGAGCGGGCACGCCCGAGATGCACTTCTTCCTCTTCCGGGAGCACGTCCCAAGTCAGAATATCACACTCCCGGGGCGCACTTTCTTCGAGCGGGCACACAAAGGATGCACTTCTTCCTCCTCCTCCTCCTCCTCCTCCTCCTCCTCTCCTCCTCCTCCTCCTCCTCCTCCTCCTCCTCTTCCTCCTCCTCCTCCTCCTCCTCCTCCTTCCTCCTCCTCCTCGCTTCCTCCCCCCACTCCTAGCCCTTTCGATCAGGGCCGGCGGCACCGGCCGTCAGGCCTCTCCAATTCATCACTTATACAACGAGCCCGCCGCAGCGCCGATTTTCTCGTTGAACCAATGTGGGTAGTTCGCGGGTAGGTCGCAAATGGGTCGCGGGTGGGTCGCTGCTGGGTCGCGAGTGGGTTGCGGTTGTAGAGGGCAGAAGGTCCAACCCATAATAATCACCCCGGCAAGCGAAGCCGTTTAGTAAACGCACAAAAGGATTGAATCGAACAGGGCAGGGCTGTTTAGTCACCGCTCAGGGCCGTTTAGTAAACGTCAATTGTCGGGTCTGGGTGTTTTTTCCTCCCTTGAGGGTGGGTCGCGGGTGTGTCGCGGGGTGGGTCGCGCGTGGATCGCGGATGTGTCGCTGGGCGGGTCGCGGGTGGGTCGCAGAGGTGGTCGCGGGTGGGTCGCGGGTGGGTCGCAGGGTGGGTCGCGGGTGGGTCGCGGGGTGGGTCGCGGGTGGGTCGCGGGTGGGACGACGACAATAAAAACAACAACAACAACAACAACAACAACAACAACAACAACAACAACAACAATCATTTAAGACTGGGGACACTCCGTTCTCACCAGTGCCAGGGTTTTCATAGGAGGCGGGCAATACCCCCACTTTGTGGGGGGGCCGGTTCAAGCTCTACCAAATTTCCAAACGACTCTTCGCCACCACCCACACCCAGCTTCCCGCCCTATGACGTTCGGACACTTCACTTCGTGGCCTGCGGACGACCGTGGCTACTACACTGGCGCGTGGCTACTACACTGGCGGATTCTGGCCCCTGGCAGGCGCGCGAACCCCGTTGCAAGAGCGTGCGAAAGTAGCTCGCGCGAGCTCATGTAACATAAATGTTGGAAAACCATTGGTTTTTTTTAGGATTCGGACAGCGCGCGCGGGTGAAATTTTGAAAAGTCGTGCAGGTGTTTTTCGAGGACCTACGGTGCGATTCGTGTGATTTTATGATGCGCGGTGCTAAAATTCTTAAGAAGCCCAATGGTTTTTGGAGATTTCGGCGTGCGCGCGCGAAGAAAAAACGAATGTGTCCCGCATGGTATTATTTGACAGGGATGATGGCCCTGGCAGGTGCGCAACCGTTGTCGCAGAAGTTCGAAAAAGTTGCTCGCAAAAGCCCGTTTGACAGAAATGTTTAAAAAGTGTTGGGTTTCCTACGAATCCGCAAGAGCGCGCGGGATGAGATTTTGACATTTTTTTGTTGAAAAACCATTGGTTTTTTGATGTTTTTATGTTAAAATCGCTCCGAACACTAAGCTTTTGGAAGGATTTCGTCTTGCGCGCGCGAATGTCCACTTTACCTTATTTTTTGCAAGGGATTCTTGAAATTTGATTATATTAGAACAAGAAATGTCATTTTATAGTGTTTTTTGCAAGGGAAAGCGGGGGGGAACAAAACAACCGGATCTTGATCACATCGAATTACCTGAGGCTTCCTCACGAAAATGATGAAAATGTAGCTGCGGCCTAGGCGGCGCAGGGGGGCCGTGCACCAGGGGTCCCAACAATAACTATTCTTTAGAATTAATAATGTTCAACAACAACTACAACAACAACAACAGCAGCAGCAGCAACAACGACAACAAGAAGGCAAAACAACCGGCGGGCGGACCCGGTAAGGGTCCACCAGCTCGCTGTTTCGCTCCTAGTGGCGAAACATCTCACTGGTGGACCCGGACCCCCCCCCCCGGCAACGCAACGCAACGCATCGCAACGCAACGCAACATATGGTTGGCAACAAAAGCCAAAGGAAGCCGTTGGAAAATCCTCTGGGATCCTTCGGGATCCTTAAGAAAGCCGACGCACGCCCACGAGCTGAAACTATGCGCGCTCCCCCGAGCCGAAACCTTTGGGCATACTATAGAATCCTTAAAGGATGCTATAGAATCCCTAAGGGAAGGCTGCAGAACCACTAAGGAATGCTATATAATCCCTAGAAAGGATGCTATAGAATGCCTGAGGGATGCTATAGAATCCCTAAGGCCTGCTACATAATCCCTAAGGGATGCTATGGAATCCCTAAGGGCTGCCATAGAATCCCTAGGGCTGCCATAGAAACCCTTAGGGATCCCATAGAATACTTAAGGAATGCGATAGAAACCCTAAGGGATGCTATAGAATCCCTAAGGGCTGCTATAGAAGCCCTAAGGGCTGCTATAGAATCCCTAAGGGATGCTGTAGAATCCCTAAGGGGATGCTATATAATCCTTACAAAGGGATGCTACATGCTCCTTAGAAGGGATGCTATATAATCCTTAGCGGATGCTATAGAAACCCTAAAGGATGCTATATAACCCTTAAGGGGATGTACTAGAATCCTTGAGGGATGCTGTAGAATCCCTGAGGGATGCTATAGAATCATGAGGGATGCTATAGAATCCCTAAGGCCTGCTACATAATCCCTAAGGGATGCTATGGAATCCCTAAGGGCTGCCATAGAATCCCTGAGGGATGCTGTAGAATCTTAAAGGGATGTTATAGAAGCCCTAAGGGGATGCTATAGAATCCTTAAGAGGATGCTGTAGAATTCTTAACGGAATGCTATAGAATCCTTAAAGGGATGCTCTAGAATCCCTGAGGGATGCTATATAATCCCTGAGAGATGCTCTAGAATCCATGAGGGCTGCGATTGAATCCCGAAGGGATGCTATAGAATCCCGAAGGGGGATGCTATAGAAGCCCTAAGGGATGCTATATAATCCCCATGGGTCCTGGCGTGTTGCCCAGCGTCCCTCAATGGCCTGCCCCAGACGGGGGAGGCGCATGCCCGAATGGCTTGAACCACGAATGAAGAGAGGAAGACGAGCGTGCCCACGACAGCCGCAGGGCCACCAGAGCCACGGGAGTCAAATCCGCCGCCGTGCCTCCTGCACGGCAGAGGCGAGTTAGAAGCTGGGCCGGCACGGGAACGAACAGAGCTCCCTGTGGGCCAGGGCCACGATCCTCGAGAAACGTGTGCCGAAATTATGCTTCGGTGGGGCTCCGTGTGGGGTCAGGGCCACGATCCTCGAGAGGGGTGTGCCGAAATGACGTTTCGGTGGGCCTCCCTGTGGGGTCTGTGCCACGATCCTCGAGAGGGGTGTGCCGAAATGATGCTTCGGTGGAGCTCCCTGTGGGGCCAGGGCCACTGTCCTCGAGACGGGTGTGCCGAAATACGAATTCGGTGGAGTTCCCTGTGGGATCCGGGCGACGATCCTCGAGAGCGGTGTGCCGAAATGGAGCTTCGGTGGAGCTCCCTGTGCGGCCAGGGCCGCGATCCTCGAGAGGGGTGTGCCGAAATGAGGCGTGGGTGGAGCTCCCTGTGGGGCCAGGGCCACGATCATCCTTGATGGGGTGTGCCGACATGAAGCTTCGGAGAAACCCTCTGTGAGGCCAGGGCCACGATCATCGAGAAGGGTGTGCCGAAATGGAGTTTCGGAGGAGCCCTCTAAGGCCAGGGCCACGATCCTCGAGAGGGGTGTGCCGAAATGGAGCTTCGGAGGAGCTCCCTGTGAGGCCAGAGGGCCTATGGGATTCTTCTAAGATTCCTAAGTATAACTCCCGTAGGATTCGTAAAAGCTTCCCCCAGAATTCCTATAGGATTCGTGAAGGCCCTTCCTATAAGATTCGCAGAGGCCCTATAGGATCCCCATAGGATCCCTATGGGATTCCTATGGGTTTCGCAGAGGCCCTACAGGATTCCTATAAGATTCCTATCGGAATCCTAAAAAGGATTCGTGGAGGCCCTATAGGATTCGTATACACATCGTATAGGATTCCTATAGGGTTCGTAAAGGACTTATAGGATTCCGATGAGTCCTATACGATATGTAAAGGCCCTCTGGGATTCCGATCAGATTCCTCTAGGAATCCGATGGGGTTCGTAAAAGCCCTATAGGAATCCTATGGGACTCCTACAGGAATCCTATAATATTCGCGGAGGCCCCATAGGATTCCTATGCGTTTGCTATAGGAATCCTATAGGATTCGTAAAGGCCCTATAGGATGATTATGTGATTCCCATGGGATTCCTATGGGGTCCGTAGAGGCCCTACAGGATCCCTATGGGATTCCTCTGGGAATCGGGGAAGCCCGATAATATTCCCGTAGGATCCCTGTAGGATTCCCATCGGATTCGTACAGGCCCTATAGGTTTCCCAGTGGATTCCTATAAGGGTCCCATAGGAATCAAGCCCTATAGGATTCCTATGGGATCCAATTGGATTCTTATAGGATCCGAAGAAACCCTCTAGGATTCCCATCGGAATCCGATCTGATCCTTATAGGAATCGTGGAGGCCCCATAGGATTCCTCTGAGATTCTTATGGGATTCCGATAGGCTTCGTAGAGGCCCTATAAGATTCCCAGAAAGGATTTCTCTAAGATCCGTATATGATTCGTATAGGCCCTATAGGATTCCCAAAAACAATCTGATGGGATTCCCACTGGAATCCTGAAAGCCCTATAAATCCCTATGGGATTCCAATGGGAATCCCATAGGAATCCTACACGCCCTATAGGTTTCCAATAGCCTTCCTGGAAGATTCCGATCGGATTCGTAAAAGGCCCTATAGGATTCCCATCCGATTCATATCCCTATAAGACTCCCATGGGATTCCCATCGGATCCGTAGAGGCCCTATGGGATTCCTGTGGGATTCCTACAAGGTTCGCGGAGACCCTATAGGATTCCCATCGGAATCCTACAGGATTCGGCGATCGGGGTAACGTACGTTGCGTTGCGTTGCGTTGCGTTGCGTTGCGTTGCGTTGCGTTTCGTTGCGCCGGGGGGGGGGGCCGGCGCCAGTGAGTGGTTTCGTCAACAACAACAACACCACCCACAACAACAGCAGCAACAACAACAACAACGCAACAAGCAGAATTCTCACCACGAGTTCCTTATTCAGTCATGCACGCAGGGACAATGAATGACCGCTCGGCCCCCTCACTCTGATATGTATATATATATACATACATACATACATACATACATACATACATACACGGACATGCACTCTTTGGCGTCGCGGTCGCGCGCGCGGCGGCGCGGCGTAGGTCAAGTCATGCGAGCGCGCGGTCGGACCGAGCTAACACGGCATGGAGACAGAAGCGGAAAACGCACACACAACCATACCCACATTTTTTTTGCGGTCGCGGCCTCGCGCGCAGCGTCGGGGAGGAGAAAGTTACCGAGCAGGCGAGCGCGCGCGGCTGGCCGCTCAAAGCGCGCAGGGAGCCATATTGACCGGCCATGCCATCCGCGTGTAGGAGCATGGGCAGCGAGGGTGCAGCGGGTGGAATGGCAGAGCCAGGGAACTAGAGGCGCAATGCGACAAGCGACGAATGACGACAAGGACGGCCGAAGCAAGATGACGACACGCAGCTGCAAAGGGCTGGAAACGCGTTGGCTGGCCAGTGCGAGGCCGAGTGCGCCAGCGTGGGCGGCCGTAGGCAGAAGCACACATAGGCAACGTGTAAACAAAAGCGTACAGCGCAGGCACAAACACACTCACACATGCACATACACATGCGCATACACATGCACACACAGTTGCCTCTGACACACACACACACACGCGCACACACACACACACACACACACGTTCACACCATATCACACCACGCAAGTTATGACCATAGCTTCAACAGACTTTCGATTTCGTTTTCCCCAGAAAGGTAAGGACAACGTTCTGGGCACCAAATGGTGCTACATCTCGTCACGATTGCCCGTGAAATTGTCAGCCAGCACCAGCTGGACAGCATGGAATAGGCAAATTCAGGCGACAGGGGCCTGATAAGCAAAGTGCGGATGTGGTGGGAACAGGCTGAAGGGTACGCGACGGCGCGCGCGCGCAGAAGAGAAAGAGGGAGGGAGTGGCTCACACAGGGATAACCGAATGATGGTCCCAGAAATGTCCGCACTCGGGGCTATGCGCCGCAAACTGGCTGCGCGATTTGTACAGCCTGCCGTCCCTCCTGTGATCACTAGCTCAAAATCGTGCCGATCCGGTTAAATGACGACGGGTGGTTTGCCATGTCCACGTCAAGGCTGAGACCTTCGGTTTCAAGCGCGCTGCGTCTGGCCAGTTCCAAAGAAACTGAACCAAACAACTTGGCATCTCTGGGGGGGAGGCCAGCTTGCTTTGCCTAGAGAGACAAAAGACTCCACAAACATAAACTTTCTGGAGGTCCGCACTGATTTCTTGGATCTGCGCCTGACCCCCCCTCCCTGGAGCGCGGAGCGCGCCACAGGCGACGCCGGAGGCGCCGCCGAAAGGGGCCCAGCGCCGATCCGTAAAATCCGCGAAGAGCGCCACAAGTTATTGTTTATGCAATTGCGTCTTCTTCGAGGGGGGGGGGCTTGATCTGACTGCGCAGCCAGCCCGCCAAGCTTCCGCCGGCGGAGCCGCCACAGTTATGCTTCCGCCGCCCTCCGCTGGCCTTGCGACGCAGGGAGTTCGGGGGCCTCAAGGGCAAGGCCTCTCATAAAGCGCCGCAGGGAGTTCGGGGGTGGAAAGGACTCTCTCCAGAAAAAGGCCCTTCGGTGAAAGCTGCCAGGGGCACTCTGCATGCGCATGGCACCGCGTGCCGAGTGCACCCCAGCGGGGCAGCAAATCGACGTCCAACAAATCAGGCGAGCGTACCCGGCGAAGCGCACGTACATCAGAATGGGGACTGGGCACTGCGCCAGCACGCTCGACTGCCAGGGTCGAGGCGAACCCGTGCAGATGCCCTCGGTCAACGCGTCTGGGGAGCCCAGAAGGTAACGATACCACTACTCCCCAGACCTCTCCCAGGTGTGCTCTGCCTGGAACTTCAAACCTCGAATTGAATCCAGCGGTGGCGACAGGGGCCTCCCAGGAGGCCGAACAGGGCAAGAACGAGGCAATGGTAGCCCTGACGGTACCTTTTCCTCCTCTGGTTGTCTGGGCTGGCGCCCTCTCAATGCCCGCCTCCTCCTCCTGCTCCTCCTCCTCCTCCTCCCCCCTCCACCCTCCTCCTCATCGTCCTCCTCCTCCTCCTCCTCCTCCTCATCCTTCTCCTCCTCCTCCTCCTTTGAACGGCCGCCCGGGCACTGACTGGCGGGTTGAAGAACGCCACCAGCCGGTCCCCAACCTCGTGCATGAATGGGTGCGCCTGGAGCACGAGCCTCGCAGCCACCCCTCTGCTCCCCTGCGCAAGCTGCCCAAGCCAGGGGCGTCGCCAGGCACGGAGAAGGCCACGCGAGTCGGCCCGAAGGAGAGGAGCAAGAACAGCGAATGCTCTCGTGACGGATGAAAGGGCGCATGTGAAGGAGTAATGGGGAGCAGGAGTTGGATTCGCTTCTCAATTTGGGCTATACGAATGTTCTCGAACTCGTTCCAATGTTAACGGATGCTACCCGAAGAGAACCCAAATAAGAGGAGGCGCCAAAGTGTGAACGCCAGGACCATGTGAGTGACGTGCGAACTGGTGGCAAAGGCACAGAGGGTACGGCGCCCTTCGGCAAGCCCCGTGTCCAATCCAGGTGAAGCATAACATTGGACAAAACCTGTTTTTCCAAGATAAGGGACACAACAACAAAAATTGCTCTCCAGCCAGATCAAGCGAAACTGTGCCTGCAAATCAGGCGTAATAATCGTGCTATCGTACGCTGTGTCCGGAAACCAAGAAGCCTGAGCACGTTAACAGTGACAGCAACTCGGTGCTTGCAAACATTGTCACCATGCAACAAGAGGGCGAGAACTTGTGCACAAACAAAACTAGAAACGGTCCGCGCGGATTTCGTGGATCTGCGGTGGACCCTCATCCATTGCGCGCGGAGCGCCAGGTGATGCGATGGAGGAGCCGCCATGGGGCTCCAGCGCAGGTAAAAAGAAATCCGCGCGGACCGTCAAACGTTTATGTTTACGCAGTGCTTTCTCTTTTGACGCAAAACAAATTCAAAACGACACATGCTCCTTGAAGTACTGCAAGGCGTTTGAGGCATCATACGGAACGCCCCCTTCTCTTCAACATTGACGCATGTCTCCACCGCCTCCCTCGTCTACTGTCGTCCAGTGCTGCTTCCTGAAAGTACGCATGACAGAACATGGAATGGTCATCGCACGCGGTCAAAATAACAAGACGTGATGGAGTTAGATATACAACATACACGCATACGCAATCACGATGTCGCGAACGAAACCTTCGACACACCCATTTATGTGATACACGACCGCTCTCAGTGTCCACGCGCACCCATCTCCACATCCTAAAACGCAGCAAGACACCCAGTCACTGAGCTGCACCAAGTCTTGCCGCAGCCTGCTTCAGATCTCACACGCGCTGCTGTGCACTGAACGTCAGGAGTGTCTGTGTGTGTGCGTTCAGCGGGAAACATGTGTGAAGGGAAACTGGGACACACAAATAAATACACACAAATAAAAAGATTCCCCATATTTTCCTACATTTTCTGGGTTTCTGTCTTCCCCCCCACTTCCCATATTTTCCCATATTTTCTGGGGAGTCGACGATTAATTGTGTCTGTGGGTTTTTTTCCCCCTGAATGTGTGTGGAATGTGTGTGTGTGCTGGTGCTGCTCTCGGCACCTCGGTGGCCTGGCTTCCTGATGTTTCCTTTCCTCTACAGTCCGCATTCCTCCCTGGCCCTTGGCTCTGCCTCTCGACTGCGTCCACCTTCTTTTCGTCATACATCCGCCAGATCGTTCCTCTTCAGCGGTCGACTGAGTCCGACTCCACTGGAGTTTCCATTGTTGCGGCCCCACTCTCACAGGTGGTGTGTGTGTGTGTGCTGAGCGTACTCCCGCCTTCGTACTTTGCGAACCGCCGACTCCATCCCATCAGAGCGGCCAAAACAACAATATGTGTGCGTGTGTGCGTGTGTGTGTGTGTGTGTGTGTGCGTGTGCGTGTGCGTGTGCGTGTGCGTGTGCGTGTGCGTGTGCGTGTGCGTGTGCGTGTGCGTGTGCGTGTGCGTGTGCGTGTGCGTGTGCGTGTGCGTGTGCGTGTGCGTGTGCGTGTGCGTGTGCGTGTGCGTGTGCGTGTGCGTGTGCGTGTGCGTGTGCGTGTGCGTGTGCGTGTGCGTGCGTGTGCGTGTGCGTGTGCGTGTGCGTGTGCGTGTGCGTGCGTGTGCGTGTGCGTGTGCGTGTGCGTGTGCGTGTGCGTGCGTGCGTGCGTGCGTGCGTGCGTGCGCGTGCGTGCGTGCGTGCGTGCGTGCGTGCGTGCGTGCGTGCGTGCGTGCGTGCGTGCGTGCGTGCGTGCGTGCGTGCGTGCGTGCGTGCGTGCGTGCGTGCGTGCGTGCGTGCGTGCGTGCGTGCGTGCGTGCGTGCGTGCGTGCGTGCGTGCGTGCGTGCGTGCGTGCGTGCGTGCGTGCGTGCGTGCGTGCGTGTGTGTGTGTGTGTGTGTGTGTGGGTGCCCTCGTCCTGCTGTGTGCTGGGCTGCCGCCTTCCTCTGCTGACCCCGATCACGGATGCCCACTCCGTGGGCTGCTACGCGAGGGCCCGCTGCGCTCGTCTGCCGGCGATGCTCTCTCGCACCCACTCCCTCGTGGCGCTGCGCGCACCGCCACGAAACCAAAACATGTATGTGGTGCTCGCGATGCGAGTGTACACGCACAACGCGTGCGGTAATTGATCTAGGCGTGTCCCGCCCTTGAACTTGCTGCATTGGATCAGCTGGCCAGGAAGTTAAAACGTGTGTACGTTCTCGCGAATGCTTGCAGAATTCAGTCTAGTCCGCGCCACAATCTAGCCCTCGCTAGGGTGACGCCACATGGCCGGCGGAGGTGCGTGTGTGTTTGTGTGTGAGCGCACTCACTGCCCGCGGGCTTTCGACCGCGTTGGCGCTCGCCTCCGCTGCTGACCAGAAACGTGTACGCAATCGCTGACTACTGACTGGCCCGCCAGCACAAGAAGCGCGTTCGCTTGCCAAGATCCGCCCAGCACAGGCGATGCTTCCCTGCCGCGGGGGCCCATCCCCGATCCTGCTCAGCTGGAGCGATAGGGCGGAGCGGTCTGCGCCGGCTTCTCGTCGCTCCACCTGCACGGCGGGACGCGGAAAGGCCACGCCCTGGGGAGGCCTGGGAGAATGGAAAAAGCGCAGCCCTCGTCTCGCCGTCTGCGCCCTTCCGGCATGACCGCCGCCCTGTTCCAGCACAGGGGAGGTGTGCATAAGCAGAGGGCTCGTATGCACCACCACCGCCAGAGAGCCGAGAACCGAATAGAATCGATCGGTCGGATCGGCGATCGAAATGAATCGGATCAGCAGAAATCGGCAGCCGAGTCGGGAGAAGTCGAATCGGCGGAAAACGGCGGGCTAGAGGCCTCCAGTGAGAAATCGGAATCCGAAACGGAAACCGAAATCGAATCGAATCGGAATCCATCGAAATCGGATTGGAGAAATCGAAACGAGCCCTGCATGTATACACCCCCACCCCTCACCACGCCAGACCACTGCCACCTTCGGCCCTGGCATGGTGTACATACGGACTCCTGGCCTCACCCAGGCTCTACGCCACACTGGGCCCCAGCGCGGCACTGCCTGGGCACGGTGGCAGCGCATGGATGCCTTTCGCGGAGGACTCGGACGCGGATTAGCTTCGAGCCATAACTCCCTCACCCACAACGGCAGAAGCGACGACGAGGGCCAGCAAGCGGGGCCAGCAAGCGAGCGGAAAGGCCAACGAAACGGGACCAATCGAAAGGCCAAACAGAGCCCCCGAACCCGGCAACCAAAACATGGAATGAACGAAGTCACATGGCTTTCCGTGCGGGGAGGAGAAACATGATGGGGGGGGAGATGGAGAGGCAGGAGGTGAGGAGAAGGGGGAACAGGAAGGCCAGGGGGGGAGCAGGACAGAGAGGGTGAAGAGAGAGGGAGGGAAGGCAAAACCGATAAAAGAGAGGAAGAGAGAGAGAGAGAGGGTGAAAGCAAGTGAAAGGGAGAGAGAGCAAGAGAGAGAGAGAGATATAGAGAGAGAGAGAAATAGCGCGCGAGAAAGACGGGCTGAGAGATTCAAGGTAGTCGTGACTGAACCGCCCCCTCCCCTCATCTTCTCCGTCCTCTGAAGAGAGGTTTCCCCCCTCACGGCATATCCACGTTGCGATCACGTCGGCTCTGGCTCCTGAAACCGATCTGACCGGTCAACCTTTAAGGATCGCGGCCTTCCGACTGCACGGATCTCTCGGCAGATTCCGAACAACCTGCCGGCGTTCAACCCTGGACGCCAGCGCAGGGGTCGCCGCCGCGTCCGCGCGGCGGGAACCTGCCGCATCACAATGACCTTGGATTGGCAGGCCCTGGCGCGAGGGTGCGGAGGGCGGCGGAGCGGCTCGCTGTGGAGTCCGATGTTCTGCACGCCCGACGGCGCCAGGTGCATCGGCAGTGCATCGCCGATGCATCGCCGATGCATCGTGGATGCGGCTCGATCCACCGAACTCAGACCCCATCTGGAAGGCGTAAGAGTCTTCTACACGGGCAGCGCATGCACGGCGGAGCCCCGAGGCGCCGCAGCAGGCGCAGAGCGAGCGCCGAAGGCAGGCGGCGCGGTGGCCTGCAGCATGGCGCAGTGCGTCTCCCGCCACTGCCCGCGGCCCAGCCGCGTGAACGGCTGCCTGCCCCGCACCCCAGGAGCTCGCGCGATCGCTGCATTTTTTGGCATAGCGATAACCAAGGTTATCCCGTGGGGGAGGGAGGGGTGTGCCGGCCGATGACCTGACCTTCTCGCTGTGGGCAGCCCCACGTAGGCCCGCGCGCACCAATACTGCGTAGATCCCCTTCGGAGCTGTGCAACCGACACGGTGAGGTCATCCAGGGGGAGGGGGGAGGCGGGCGGGCCCGATAACCTGGGATACTGCCGAAGCCTTGAAAAATCACCCTCCTCTGGCCCCTGCCCGCCGCGGCGGCCGACGACGGCCCGTGGCCGCGCGAGTGGCTCGTGCCGCGAAGACTTCGCCCCTGAACGGTCGCAGCCTCCCGGCCGCAAAAGGCCGCTCGATACGTCGGCCGATGCCCGGCCAGGTTTCTGGCGGCGTTCGACCTGAAAAACGTCATCGCTGGGGTCGCCGCCGCGCCGACGCGACGAGAACCTGCCGCAGACTGGGTCGGCGCGAGGGGGCGGGCCCCGAGAGAGCGGGGCGCTTCACGAGAGAACTTCTGGGGATTCCTGGAGGCCCTGCATACTGTTTCTAAGGAGCCTTCCTGGAAGCTTCGAGGCCCTGCTGGAAGGGGCCCAGACTTTTGGAAACGCCCCAAGGCCTTCTTGAGATCGCTGTGGAATTCGATTCCCGCTGTTGGTCGTTACCCGGGAAGTGGGGCCCTAGCGGTACACGGCGCTTGGGCAGGGTGGGGAGGGCGCACGTCGGGGCGGGGGTGCGCTGCGATCGCGACAGCACGCGCGCGAGCGCCAACAAATGAGAGGGGGCAGGCCCCTCCTGCGTACGATCCCTACCGTGACGTACTGGGGGGGGGAGGCTGGAAAACGACCGGTAAGAGGCAGAGGAACACACTACCCCAGCACGGCACCCTGATAGCAATACAAACCAAAACAATATCGTTTGAATGCCGTCCCTGATGCGCACCACCCCTGGTACGTGCCACCAGCGAAGGGTTCGGACCTAGAGCTCCGAAACCATGCAAAAACATAGCGGGGGCAGCTCGCCATGTCTAGCTTCCGGCAGGGGGCCGCGGTCGGCCTCCCAGGCCGTCGAAACGACGACCTCGTGGGTCGAGGAAGCGGGCCCCCAGGAAGGAGCCGAGAGCTTCGGGGACCCAGCACTCAAGCAAATCACGACGGATCCGACAAATTCGGTAACAGAAGACGCGCATGCAAAAACTCGGACTACCAACGAATGTGCAAAAACAAACCATGAACACGAAAACCGCCATGTCCAATGACACCTCTTGGCACCCTCTGGCGCATCAGGGCATCGGTGGTCCAGCGGGCATGGGTAAACGAGGGGGAAGACCTGGGCGAGGACAGGACAAAGCGGAACGCCCCGAACGGCCGATCGCAACAGCAGGGGCGTGAAGAAGCACGTGGGCGTTGGCGGAAATCCTGGCCGATCTGCTTGACATCGGAGCCTGGGCGTTCTCAAACATGTTTACGTCGCGGCGCGGCAGAGGCAATCCGCTCTCGCGTTCAAGTCGCCAGGGGCGCTGGGCAAACTGGGCGGCCGGCTGCCAGAGCAGGGCAGCGCAGGGAAGGGCGGTCGCAGCGGCCAGGAGGAGGGGGACCGTCGCACGGCTTCGAAAAGGGCTCGACTTTACTAGTGCGACCCGAGCGCTCTGAGCGCAGCAGTATCCCCAGGCCCTGGGGGTCCCCAGTCCGACGGGACCCCCGAGGTCCAAAAACCGTCCACCTGCGAGTCGGGAAGGCATTCCAGGCAGGCCATGACCAGCCCGACCTGCGCATGGACATGATGACAGCACCCGCAGGGCCCTTCACTCGACTTCGCCGCTTCTGCATATATGCCAACATCTGCTGCTGTTTCCAAGCGTCTTTCAGCTGAGTCCTGAGCTCGTCGAGGTCGTTGATACCCCGCCGCCGACCACGAGCCCTGGCCCCGGAGAACTCCTGCTGGGTGCCCACTGTCGCGAGCTGCTGCAAGCAGCTTACTGCGTCGCCGATATCGCCGCTTACCCACTAGTACTCAGGCGGACCTGGAGAGCGCCGTGACCTTCATCAGCCGGTGGTGCCAACGGCCCCAGGGGGCGTCGCAACTGCCTCCGCATTCTCCGCAGCTCGGCCCAATGGTGACCCAGCGCCAGCCTGCGTTCAGGGTTCGCCAAGCCAGTCGACGCAGCGGAAGAAGGCACTGCGTCTCCAGCGCGCCCGTGCCCAGGAGCTCCTGCACAGCTTCTCCGCCGCCTGCCTGGCCCGCAACGGACGGCGCGCACTGCTCCAGCCAGTCGCCGATGTCCAGGTAGTTCTCGCCTCGCAGGTCCTGGGCCCACGACGTGGACCACATGCCCGCCGTCTCGCGGAGCTCCTGACCAGCCCGGGCCGCGGGGACATGCCGGCCCTGACCGCCTCGAGCCGCGGCGGCGCTCAGGCCCTGACTACCTCGAGCCGCGGCGAAGCCGATGCCCTGGGTCTCGAGCCTGGGCACAGGAGAGACTGCGCCAAAGCCACCTGCCACTGCGATCTCCCACGCAGCCCGTGCCCAGCGCAAGGTCGGAGCCTTCCTGACGTCGTGCGCTGGGTCCTCCGTTGCCGCTGCCTGGCTGGAGCGCGAGGCCCTTCGCTCCCCGCGGGCCTGGCGAGATCTCAGCCGACGCGCCCCTCATCTGCTGCAGCTGGTGATCTGGCACGCCCGGGCACATGCAACCGCGGTGCGCCGACTGCTCTGGACATGGCCCGAGCCTCTGGACATGGCGCGACCACCACCCCGCAGGTTGAGCAATTGAGCCGTCCGATTCCGCATCTTGCCGAATCGCTAATTAGCCGCTCTTGCCCTCGCGCGCCGTGTCCGTCGCGACCACGTCGGCGGCAAAGCATCAGGGCGTCCGCGCCACTGGGGGCCCGCGCTGCGCCATCTCGGGGGGCGCGGCCCCCCGCGGCCACTCGGCGCTCGCCGCGACCGCGCGCGCGCCCTGCTCGCCCACGGGGCACTGCAAGCCCAACTCGGCGAAGCCCTTCATGATGTCGTCGGTACCTATCGGAAAACGTCAGCAGACCACTACTGCGCTCCTCCTTGCGCGATACGCAGGTCGCCCACGTGCATGCGCCACGTTTCCAAAGGCGCCCCACGACCAAATTGTCCACCGTAGTCTGAACAAGAATCATCGGAAAGCAAAGGAAACTTGCGGCCCGCAACGACGGTGGCGACAGTCTGCGTCTCCGTGGAAGCTGACCCCCCGGCAGCGACCCACCTGGCCATCGCGAAGTTCAAGGGCGCCGCCGCCAAGACCTCCGCGCGGAACTTCATCTGCTTGCCGCGCTCCCACAGCACGTGGAGGACCACCCGCTCGAAGGCCTTGACCAGGCCCAATTTAGCCGCGATGGTGGCCACGACCGCAGGCCCCGCCTCGCCTGGGTCGCCAGCTTCGCGCGCCAGCAAAACCCCTCATGCCGCAGCCTCCGCAGCTCGACCATCCGACGTGCAAACCCACGACCGCCGGTTGCCCTTGGCCAACTCCACCGCGCAAGGCTCGCGCGCGACCCCCCGCGCGCGCGCCGGCGCGGGCAGCGGGCCCATCGCCCAGTCTGACGCAACGCTCTTGGGAAGAAAGATGATCGACATCCCGCAAGATGCCCAGCAACTCCTAATTGGCCCCGCCTGGCGCATTCTACTGAATGGAGGGGCGCCACTGGTTGGCTCCCGCCCCCGTGTTCTTATTGGAAAAACGCGCCGCCTTCCTCAACTTGCCCAGGTCAGCGTCTGCGAGATCCGCCAGCTCCACGCGCTAGTCGATCTCCCACGGCCCGGGGAGCTTCCACCCACCGCGCCTTGGTACACTCGCCCAAAGCCGCCTGAGTGAGTCGCAGCGGGCCTGCAGCCGCCCGAGCCGTCGCTGCTCGCCTCGACCCCTGGATCTCCACTGGCGTGACTTGCATATTCAAATCCCTGCAGACCCTGAGGCGACCTCCTCGAGCTTGTCCGCCCACTGCTTGAGTCGCATCTTGACCAACTCCTGATCGCAGTGCCTGGGCGGGTCTGGCACCTCGGCAACCAGCGCCCGAAGCCCGGGCTGCAAACTTTCGGCCCGCCAGCCGCCGCGCGCCACCGCGCTGCAGCGACCGCCCCGCAGGATCTGCAAGCTGGCCGTCTGCTCGCCGAACTTCCCTCCCAGAGCGAAGACCTCCAGGCGTCGCTTCACCAGGGGCCCCGCGCTCACCGCGGCGGAGAACAGCCTTAGTAGGCCCCCGCCAAGGCATGCAAGGACCTCGCCTACCACCGCCAAAGGGCTGCACCTCGGGGCTTGGGCTTCGGCGGATTAAACCGCCCCCGGGCGACCGCCGCCAGCTTCCGCCGCGGCAGGTTGGCACCGCCCCCCCGCCAAAGACGCTCGTCCCAGACCGCGCCGCGCGCGCCAGCGGCCTCCACCTCCAGCGCGAGCATTGCTGGCTCCAGGGCGCTGCGGCCGCCGGAGGCGACTCGAAGGCGGCCGACCGCGCGAAGCTCGGCGGCGCGGGCGCGCAGCCAATCGGCAAGTCGCCCAGGGGCTTCGGCCAGACGAGCACGCGGGCCCAACGCTCCTGAGGGCGCGCAGATCCAGCGCAAGCCCGACAGGCCCACGCGGCGCCCACGTTCCCCCCCCCCTGCCCCCCCTCCCCTGCACTGCGACCTGCGCGACCTGGCCGGTAGGCGACGCCGACGCGATGATGTCATCGATGGCGGCGTTCGCACAGGCGACGCGGCACGCGCCGCGCATGGCCGAAGGCACCGCCAGCGCGGCCTCGGCCAGCTCGACGGCGCCAAGATCCGCGAACACCGAGGGGGCAGTCTGGAAGCCGCCGCGCGCGACCCACGGCGTCGCGAGCCCCTCCAAGAACCACATCACGCGCTCCACGAAGCGCGCGGCGCGATAGGACATGCCCTCGGCCGTCCAGAAGTGCGCCGAGACGACCGCAATGCCCCCGCGCCCCGCTGCCACCTAGGCGACTGCGGGGCGGCCTGCACAACCCTTGGGCGAGATGTCCGACGACGTCTGGACCGCGACACAGGCCGCGCCCGCGTCCTCCGGCGCCGCAACCGCGACGCCCGCCGAGGTGCCAGCCTCTCCGAGCTGCCCCGTTGCGGGCGCCGCGCGGGCCTCTCCCAACTGGTAGCCCTTGGCCTTCATGCTGGGCGCGACGCCTGCCCGCGGGTCCGCGAGGAGGCGATGCCCCTGCATCGCGTAGATGCGCATCGTGCGCGGGCCCCTCTGGGCCCCAGCAGCTTCTCCTCTAGCAGCCCCCAGCTGGAACCGTTGAAGGTCCACGCCATGAACGACATGCACTTCTGCGTTGCCGTCCGCTGCGGGAGGAAAAGGTGCCTGCGCGTGGAGTCCTCTGGCACTTGCGCGTGGTCCATCCAGCTGCTGGCGGTGCACCGTCCAGAAGCCCCCGAAGCCGCCGCCGTCGGAGCCGCTCTGCACGTCGCACCTGCGCCGCTGCCCACGCCACTGAAGCCGCCCAACTCCCCCAGGCCACCCCCTTGCCGCAGCCCGCGCCGATGCGACGCCAGGAGGATCCGCGTGGGAAGAAGCCCTGAGGCGAGGCGCTAGGTGGGGCAGCCGGCACCGCCTCCTCACGCCGCCACGGCAGCTGCGCGCTCTCCCCCCGCGCGCGTGCTTGCTGATGGCGATGCACCTGTACTCTTGCAGGCCATGTGCGACGACCCCGCGCGGCTGCCCTCAGGCTGCACTCGCCACCCCCCAGAGCTCCCATCCGCGCCAGCCCAGGCAGGGACGCGGTTGGTGCTGCGCAGGTACTGCGCGACCTCCGCCCGCAGCGGCAACAGGGCCATGCCAAACTTCGCCCGGTTGAGTACCAAATACTCGAGCTCGCGACCCGCATTGCTGACGCTTGAGGTTAAAGGCGTGCTGCAGCTGCAGCATATCCGTGTACCCCTTGTGCTGCTCGGATTGGTGTTCCCTGTCTGGCACGTCTGTGCTACCCACAAGCCATTCCTATTCTTCGTCTGCGGCGTCGTCGGGTCCCGCTGCCTGGCCGACGGCCATGCCACCGTCCTTCAGCACTGCACCACCTGCTGCTGCAGCTGGGGACTCGCCCATGCCTGACCCAGCTGGCCTACCAGCAGGAGGAGAACGATGCGACGCGGCAGCCACACGCCCAGCCAGCCTCTCGAAGCACTGCGCGAGACTGGGTTCATCGAAGCTGCTGCCCGCATGGCTGGCCAGCGCGGCGAGCACGACGCGATGGGCGTCCAAGTCAGGGACTGGCGACTTCGGGCGCTCGGTCGCTACCCTCGGCCTCCGCATGCTTTGCAGCCTGCGTCGCCTGCGCCAGGGCGTCGCGCAGCCTCTGCCATGCGGCCTCAGCCGCCTCCCGCTGCTTGGTAGCCCTGGTCGCCTCGTCGTCGGCATCGCGCAGCTGCGCTGCCGGCGGCGTCGCCCTGCCCCGAGCCTCGGTCGCCGTAGCGGCCCACTTGTCGTAGTCGGCCAGGGCGCCTGGCAGCCAGTTGCACGTGTCGCCCTTGCGTACCGCCTCGAGTCTCTTCTTCTCCTCAATGCTGAGGTCCAGCTCGCTCTTGCCCTGGTCGTTCTTCGGCTCCGCTGCCCACGGCGGCTGACTGCCACCGCCTGTGGCCTCCGCAGCAGCGCCCTTGAGCTTCTTGCTGCCCACGGTGAGCTCCTTGACCTGCTGCTGCAGGGCGGCAAGACGGAAAGAAAGGTTTCGCGCTGGAGGTTGACCTTGCCCTTGCCCGCGCCTCGCCCACCGCTGCCGCACTGCAACCACTGCCGCCCCTGCCCGCACTCGCGACAGGAACTGCGCGAAGCCCAGTAGTTGCCCGCCCCGCAACGCCCACACATCCAGTGGGGTTCCTTGGCGGCGGGCGCGGCCCCAAGTTTGGGATGCGCCGGCGCCGCGCCACCGTGCCCGCCCCTGAAAGTGAGGAGCCGCACCTTGCGTTTCTTGCCACCAACCTTGACCTGCCACTCGCCTTCGCCGCCTGCCATCGGCGCGCCCCACGCGCTGGCGCGAGCCCACGAAAGGCCTGGAGGGCCCTGCAACAGCAGCTGCACTCGTGGGAGGCCGGAGGCTGAAAGCCCCGAAACAAGACATCTTGAGCCAAAATGGCTACAGTAAGGCGGCCCAAGAGGCCCCCAAGAACCCCCACGAGGCGCCCAAGGGGCCTCACGAGGGCCCAAGAGGCCCCAAGGAAGTCGAGTCCAAGAGAGCCCCAAAGAGGCTTCAAACACAGCCGCCCAAAGGATTCAAAACTGCCTCCAAGAGGCCCCCGAGAGGCCTCGGATATAACCCAACGAACACGCAAGAGACCTCATACCCGCAACCCAAGCACGGTGGCGGGATCGGCCGAAGGCCATACCGTATCTCTACGTGCGTATAATACTGTATATATGTCTATGGATAGAGACAAGGAGAGCACAGCTGACACACATGCATGTTTACATGCATATGTACATACATCTGTACAAACATCCACACAAACAAACAAACAAGCAAACGCAGACATACATACACATATACATACATATTCACATACATACATACATACATACATACAATCAAACAAACATACATACCGACATACATACATACATTCAAACATACATACATACAGATGCATGCATACGTACATAGATGCCTATAGCATTGCGATCACGCGTGCATGAAAGCGTACGTGCATGCGTGCATGCATACACGCATGCGAATACATGTATACATACATCCACACACATACGTACATACAGACATATATACGCACAGGCAGGCAATGAGACAGACAGACGGGCAGACGGACAGACAGACACTCATACATACAGACACGCACATATAGAGTTGTACACACATTCAAACATATATACATACTTGCATACATGCAGACATACATGCACACACCAACACACATACAAACAAACACGCATGTATACACACCTACCTACCTACCTACCTACCTGCCCGCCTACCTACACGTCTACATGCATGCATCCACACATACGTACATACATTCATATATACATGCTGACTTACACACGTTTCTACATACATACATACATACATACATACACACATACATAAATACATACTTACATACAAACATACATACATTAATTCCAACTATGCATCCATATATACGTACATACATACGCGCGCACGTACATACATACAAACATAATTACATGGGATAGCCCTCGTCGAGACTCCTACGAGGGTGCGGCGGGAAGGCGTCGGGGCGCCGCTCAGAAGCCGGGATCGGGAAATGGCAGCCGGGTTGAAAAGATGGGAGCGGGCGCTGGAGCCGCAGTCCGAGAAGAAGAACCACACGCACTGCCACACTCGAATACATTTGACCAAAGAAGCGGGACCACCGTCGGAAAGATAGAAATAAGGATCGGGGCCGGAGTCGGAGAGATGGGATAGGACCTGGAGTCGGAGAGATAGGGCCCGGAATTGGGGCCGGAATCGGAAAAATGGCATGGGAGAGCCGCAGTCGGAAAAATGGGAGCCGGAAGCGGAGCCGGAATCGGAGGGATGAGATGGGAGAGCCGGAGTCGGAAAAATAGAACCTGGAGTCGGAGCTGGAGTCGGAGAGATGAAATGGGAGCGCCGGGGTCGGAGAGACGGGAACCGGAGTCGGAGCCGGAGTCGGAGGGATGAGATGGGGGAACCAAACTCGGAAAAATGGGACCTGGAGTCGGAGCTGGAGTCGGAGGGATGAGATGGGAGAGGCAGAGTCCGAAAGAAGAGAGCCGGAGTCGGAGTCGGGGACGGAGAGACAAAGAACTGCCGCCAGAGCCCGGAGATCGGGATTCGTGTCAGCGAGCTGATCGGGAGTCGTGCCTCTGGAATCGGAAACTCGGGAGTCGTGCCACGGTTAATGTCGGCGCAAGAGACCATCTTCGACTTCCCCACGTACTCGTTGAAGCAATGCCAAGTAATTGTGAAGGTGTGACGGATGATGGGGATGATGGGGATACAATGATGCCCGATAAGCTTGTTGCCGTAGCTGCGTCGTTGCATGCCGTGCACTAATATTTCTTCAAATCGTGCATCCATATTTGTCTGGGCCGCCCTGCTCGGCGGCTTGCGTTGTACCCGAGGTCCTGTCCCAGCGTCCACTGCAAAGCAAGTTTCGCCCATTTGGCGGCTTCCGTCGTTGCGAAGTGCCGCGCCCACCTCCATTTTTGCCCTCGTGCTAACGTTGTCCAGTCGTCGATATTGAGCAGCTTCAGGTTCTTCTGCGGCGCGCGTGGATCGTCGGATCCAGTCCGCCCGGGACTCTTCCACTTCTGCTTGAGGAATGTCACATGGCGTAGAGAGGGGCGTTGCGGTGTCGTCATCGACGCTCGTATTGGTTTGGGCGTCGTGGCTGTGCGTGCCACTGTGGGCGCTCTCACCAGACACCGCGCCAGCGTCAAGAAGGCGTTGTTGCATCGGCGTGGTTGCGTTGGCCATGCGACGTGGCATGCGCACGATAATCTGGAGCATCTGCCGCTGTCTTCCGCAACCGTTGTTCCAATTGTTTTGTAGTGGTCCAAGTCTCGCACCCATAAAGAACCGTCAGAAAAATCGTTCCGTGTAAAAAGTTCGAGCCGGCCGTTATGAGAGTAGTGGCTGCTTGTTAATTCAGCCTTCAATGTGTGAAATGTACACAAAGTCGTGGCGATGCGATTCTCTATCTCTGTCGCATGAAAACCGTCGAACTGCACTTTCCCCCCCAAGTATTTGGTGCTCTGATAAGGCGGTGAGACTTCTATGATCATACCACATATATCAACGCGCGTTGGTGCTCGTTGTGCTCTGGATGTCTGTGTCCGTTGTGCAGGATATTCGTCTTGTCTGGGTGGGGGCAAAGCCCGCCCTGTTCTGCTTCCCCGCTCAGGACCCCCAGCGTGCTCTCGACGTGGCCAAGCGTTCCGGCGACAGGAAGAATGTCAAGAGCAAAGCGAAGATTCGTGAGGCGGTCGTTGGTGTGGGTCTCTAAGCAGATTCCAATGTTCCTTGAAGTCCAAACATGTTTCGCCCGCCGCATCACGTGCTCGGAATCGCTGTTGAACAATAATGAACTCAACGGGTCGCCTTGCTTTGTCCCGCATCGAATTTCAAAAGTCCGACTCGGTCCTGACCGAGGCAGCTTGGTAGTAATAAAATTTCGACAGCAATTGCGTGTGCGCTGGGGGTGTGCCCTGCTCTGTAAACGCATTCCAAATTCTGTTGTGCGTTACGCTGTCGAATGCTTTTTTGAAGTCAACTGCCGCCACGCATAGCGGGGCCCTCCATTCGTCTGCGATTTCTTGCAAGGCAGCCGCGGTGAAAAGGCGGTCTGTGGTCCTGCGTCCGCGTCTGAAGCCTGCTCGGCCCAAACTCTGTTGGGCATCAGGGAGCGGGTTGAGAGGATTGCAAAGCAATCCTGGAAACAGTTTGCAAAGCATGGGAATGGTAGCGATTGGTAGATAGTTGCGTGCCGGTCGTGGGTCTCCGCCTTTGTGCAAAACCTTGATCGCGGTGCGCTGCCAGCTCTTCGGCGTCGGCGCTTCTGGTCGTAGGGCGGTGTTCATCAGTAGTAGGAGCGCCGCGTGTAGCGATTCGCCTCCTGACTTCAGCATTTATGCGGCGATCCTGGCGCAGTCAGGCGCCTTGTTAGTTTCCAGGTGCCGCAAGGCTTTGTGTGGCTCTTCCATTGTGAACGCAGGAATTGCTTGTCGTGGTAATGCTTTGATGGCGCCCGGCAAATCCTCGGCGGGTCTGTGGATGTCGTCGCGTAGCTGATCGAAGAAAGTGGCGAATACGTTGGCGATGGATGGTCTGTCGAAATGGTCGTGGTCATCCTTGTCGGCCATGCTCGGAATGAGCTATTTGCCTTTGCATGTATTTATACGGATGATGTGTTTCAATTTTTTGAACTCAGTCAATATACGGTCGATGGCACCTCCGCGGGTGGCCCTTCTGATGGATCTCTCGGCGGATGCTGTTGTTGAGGTGGTTCCGTGCTGTCGCCTCAGTAATCGGCGCGTCTTGTCGCTGCTGCATTAAGTGCGTCAGCGCACCGTTCGCCGCCCCAGCGGTCGGGGGGCCATCGGCCAGAGGAGGCTGGAGTTGACCAAGCTTGTCGATCAACAAATGTTCGATTTGTTCGCACTGCAGCTGGAGCCAGGCATTGAGCAAATGGGAGTCCTTGATGGCAACGTCGAGGCGCCGTTTGTATTCAGAGACGTCCGGTGGTGGCCGCTGTGGTTGCTGCTGTCGTCGCCGTCGCCCATGTCTACAGTTTGGACGTTGCTCGCGCTGCTCGTGGCGCCCCTCTGCCCTTCCACGGGGCACTGTGCAAGTCACGCGCAACGCGCGGTGGTCACGTCCCAAATCTAACGCAGGTGTCGATTCGCAGTCTGCCGCGCGCCGTCGCAACCGCTTGTCAACTAAGAAGAGACCGATCTGGTGTCGGACCATATTTGGCGACGTGTACGAGTACATGCAATCGAGTCGTTCGTAGAAAAATGTGTTCATGACCCTGCCGCTTTGGTCTGTTGCCCATTATTTCAACCACTGCCCCCTTGAGTTCATCATTCCAGCTCCATACTCTCCAATAGTGCGTCTGATGTCATCCTCAGCTCGCGCACCGATCCGGGCGTTGAAATCACCGCCAATACCTGTAGCAAATGTGTTGTTGTGTGCCTCTAAGTGTACCTGCGCGGGCTCGTCGCCTAGCTTCTGCGCGCTTGTCGCCATAACCCCCAATGTGGAAAGTAAGCAGACACCAGACGTCATTTCATATTATGCACCCCAACGTCTGCATAACAAATGTTATCAATAACGCGCTGGAATTGGCCAACGTGCCGACTCCACCGCTGGTTGGCCAATATGGAAACACCTCCGCTGGTTTTCATCTAACCGCATCCCATGAATGTATGACTACACGTTGTTTCCCATATTTCACTCTCGTCTGTGCGCCAAGCCTCGCGCCACAGAATGAAGTCCCAATCGATAGAACAAGCCTCCTTCATCAATTCCTCAACCCGCTGCTCATTGCATAATCCTCGCACGTTCTGATGGTATAGCACAAAAAGGTGGCTGTCTGCCATGGGGCTTGTTGCGTCGCATGGTGGTGGACGTTTGGAGTCGGAGATTGGTGGTTGGAGGTGGGCCCGTTGAGGTTGTGAGCTTGCGGGCGTAAGCCGAGAGTGGGAAGTGGATAGTGGTGGGCGCTGGGGTCCAAAAACTGGCGGTTGAAGATGGACTGTTTGAAGTCGTGCGTCGATAGGCGGAGGTCGAAGGCTGGATACGGGCGGCGGCGCGCGCTGGGAGTCGGAGCTTGGCGGTTGGAAATCGACTGGTTGAACTTGCGAGTCGGAGGGTGGAGGTCGACAGCTGGGGGCGGGTGTTGGTGGACGTTGATTGTCGAGACTGCGTGTGTGGAGGTCGACTGGAGATTGCATTGAAACACGTTGGGCGTCCGACCCGGCTTCGCCAGCGTCGGATCTCGCGCGCCGCTGCTGGGGGGCGCGCGGTGGGGAGTGGAGAGACAAGTCGATGAAAGCTTTTCGTCCTCCTCCTTTTCCGCCGAATGTTGGGCGCTGGACGTTGGAATGCTGCGCTCGTGAAGACTGGAGGTCGAAAATGGAAGTGGAAGTTGGGCTGGTGGAGGCTGGAAACTCAGTGGAGAACTTGCTGCTGGAGGCCGGGGGTCGGAATGTTGAGTCGGTGGGGGCCGGGGGTCGATAGCCGGAGGTGGACGTTGAAAGTCGGAGTCGGTAGGTGGAGGTGGAAATTCGGATGCTGCAACTGGGAGGTGGGAATGCTGAACTTGCGGGGGCTGGAGGTCGAGAGGTGGAGGTGGATGGAGATGTGTGGGTGGACAGTCGGATGCGGCAGAGTGGATGTCGGAATGGTGTGCTGATGAGGTCTGTAGGTCGGAAGGTGCTGGTGGAGGTGGGGAATCGGCTGCTGGAGGCTGGATGTCGGCATGCTGAACTGGTGGAGGTTGCAAGTCGATATGTGGAAATTGGGACTGGAAAGTCAGGTCCTGGAGGCTGAAGGTCTTATTGCTGGAATGGTGGAGGCCGGAGGTCACTAGATAGAGGTAGGAAGTCGGGGGGTGGAAGCTGACGGCCGGGGTCGGGCGCAAGCGATTGAAGACAAAGCCGCTGATGTAGTCCATGACGCGCCCTTCGAGAGCCATTCCCAATCGTCGTAACGATGTCCTCCCGGACAGCTTCGCGCCGTAAGTCCTGCTGGGGAAATTGAGGGGGGGGGGTTCAGGAGCTCGGCAGAAACTGCGTCGGAGCCGGGTGTGGGAGATTGGACGCGGGAAGTCGCTGGCATGAGATTGAAGAATGTAGAGGGTCGAGGCTCTCTGGGGGGGGGGTCGGATTCGATAGCTGGAGTCGGAAAGGCAATGTCGGAGCGGGGGGCCGGAGTGGGAGAATCCTGGGATGCACCGCCGTTGGGAAACTGGCGTCGGAGTCGGAGGTAGTAGCACGTCCCTGCCGTAGGATGCACCACGGCACATCTCCAGGAACTCTGATGCAGGTCAGTCGTCCTCCGTTGCAGCTGTGTGAAACTTCAGGCTGGGAATCCTGATGCTCCTCCGGAGGTGGGAGGTCCTGAGGAAGATGGAAGGAAATGGGTGAGTGAGCGTTGGGGTCGGAGGTCGGCGCCGGAGTCGGCGAAGCATGTCCTTTTTGAGGCCGCGTTGCTGGAAGTAGCTGGCCGTTGTGTCCTGTCGGCGCACTGGCCGAAAAGAGTCCTGAAGGATGGGAGCGCGTCGCCAACAAATGTGCGTTATTCAAATATCTGCCGCTGATGTGAAATATCCGCATGTGGTGGCTGTCAGAGCCCTCTGTCTTACAGATGGCTGTCGGTATCGGGATCTGGGCTGATTTTCCATCGAATAGCGGCTAACGATGCTTTTACCTCCTTCGCGACTGATTTTCCAAGACGGGTCGTTTGCCACTGCCCGTCTTTACTATACCACGCAACCTTTTTGTCGGCTATGGTGACAATACGCTTCGCCCATAATATATTCACACTGTCATGTTCGTGTTTGGGCTGTTGCGTTAAGTGGTATTTTGTATACCCCAACCGCTTGTCGTCAATGTTATCGTCCCTCGTTTGGTTGTTCTTGAACAGTACTCCTTCCATGAACGCAGCCTTCCCCATCTCGCGGACCTTCCTGTATACCTTCACTTTATATGGCACGGTTGAAAAAAAAAGGTGATCGTGCCCATCTTGGTAGGAAGGTGCTCACGTGTATGCTGCTGATGTCCTCCAAAATCTGTGCTAAGATCCCTTTTTAGCTTGTTATCCAACACATCTGCAGGTAGTGCCTCCTTGAACCCAAGTGCTACCACCTGCTTGCTCCTGTCCTCGGTATCTTTCGTGTTCTGGAGGTTGCCCCGGGCGTCGCCGGGCTTGCTGTCTTTGAAGTCCTGCATCTTGTTTGCGATCATGTCTTCGATCTGGCCCTTAGTCAGGTAGAGTTATTGCACGTCTTTTCGCATGCCGTCTACCTCCATGTTCATGTCCTCCATCTTCTCCTGTACCTCCTCGGCTGCCCTCCTGGCATCCTGCGCTTCGATCCTCGCCTTGTCGATGTCGGTCGTAATGCTTTCGAACTGCTTCGATAAGCGATTTTCGGAATCCTGAAGCCACGGTGGAGGAGCGTTCGCAACCATGATCTCGTCATTCGAACCCGTTGCAGGTCCAGCCGTTCCTTCATCCTCCTCCTCTATCTTCTTCTGCTTAGTTGGTGTCGAGCCGGTATGGCCGCCGGCACGCTTGCCTTTGTCTGCCACGCCTGCCCAAAATGGTGCGGGTGTCGGAGCTCTTAGAAGCATGAACAAATCGTCTCGATTGGAACTCCTCTGGACAAACATACATACATACACATAATCAGACATCCATACATATATATAGAGTCATACATACATACATACATACATACATACATACAAACATACATACATACATACATACATACATACATACATGCATGCATGCATAGATACACACACATACAGAAATACGTACCTACGTACATACGTACACACATGTGCAAAAACACAAAACACAAACATATGTACATACCTACCTTCCTGTCGACCTACCTACCTACATAGAAACAGACAAACATCCATGCACACCTACGAACCTACCTACCTACCTACATGCATACAGGCCTTCAAGCGCATATACATACTATGTGCATATATATATATACATAGACATGTACACATTCCTACATGCATACATACATTCAGGCAAACATAGAGACATACCAACACCTAGACATATAGACAGACATACATCGATACGTACACACGTACAAATGTACGTACGTAGGACGTCGGTACGTACGCACACATACATACATATGTGTATATACATTTGTCGATTTGCAAAATTGCGCACATATATGTATGCAGATATTAAACAAGCACGCCCTCGCGGCCTGGATTCCGGGGAGCGATCGCGTGGATATGCGGTCGCATGGGTACCTTCCGCGCGGGGTCATCATCAAAAACACACCCCGTATTCTCGGGGTTGCGGCCGAGGGGTCTAGCCTGCGAGGTCGTGTATGCGCATTCGTTTTCCACCCACGGGTTCGCCCGACCCGATCTGGGGCCAGGTCGGTCGGTTTCACCGTGCGAGCGGGTCGGCGTGATCGACCACGTCACTCCGCAGAGTCACTCGGACAGGAGGTCGCTGCGGCGCTCAATCAGTGTATATCAACGACTCGCAGGCAAGAGGGCTCGACCACCCGCTACGGTCTCCAGCTCTTGGGCAGCGTGTCGCGGCGGCGGCCCCGGCGACACGCGCTGCCCTGCAAGCGGATAGCATGTCGCTCCGCTCAGCGAAGCGGGAGCCTCGGGACGTCGCCGCCTCGGGACAGGGAAATGGATAACGTGTTGCGCCGAAGCGTGGTGGGCCAGAACTGGCGGAACGACACGCTATCCCGCAGTGCCCGGTCGTATTTGGGGCGAGGCCGCGCACGTCGGCGACTCTGTGGCAGCGTCCCGCCTGGCACAGGCGAGGTCTGCAGTCAGAGAGCGAAGCCCGTGCAGGACGAGGTGGGCCGTTCAGCATCGAACTTGCGGCGTGCCGGGAAGGACGAATGCGAGCGGATACGATAAGGGAGGGTCGAACGGTCCAACGCGCGCGGTTCGAGACGTGCCGCGAACGTGTCGAGCCCATGCCTGTCCGGCTGCATCCTTGCGAGGAGTCCGCCCGATGTGGCGCTTCGTCGTCCATCTGCCCCTCACTCTGAGCAGGCAGGGGGCAGGAATGGGAGGAGGGACGACAGCGCCGATGGGCGAGCGTGAGGCAGGATGAAGATGGGGGAAACAAAAACAGATTCATACCACCGGTCCACGGACCTCTCCCTGGGCGCGTTCTGACCAGGATTTCGAAGCGAAGCCAGCCGTGGCGGCGAGGGATGGGTACTCCTGGCCCCCCAGACCCCCCAAGGCCCTCCAAGATAGCCTGGAAGAGACCCCCCCCCGAAATGAGACCCCCCTCCCTTTATTACGAAATCTGGGGTAGCGGTCTCCTTCCTGAGGAGAGGTAGGAGGATGAGAAAAGAGGGGAGAAGGAGGGGAGGCGGGCGCGTATGGCTTTCGGGGGGTCCACGAGCGCGCGTCCGCCAAAGAGAGAGAGAAAGAGAGAGAGAGAGAGAGAGAGAATGAGAGACAGAAGCAAAACGACAGAGAGGGAAAGAGTGGGAACGAAAGAGAACCATAGAGAGAAAGGAAGAGAGAGAGAGAGGAAAGAAAAGGGAGAGAGAGGCAGGAGGTGAAAATCATGATAGTTGACATCTACCACGCCCCCGTTGTACCTGCAACAATCCACTCTCCATTCTTCTCCCCTCACCTCTCCCGCTTTACTTTTCAGGCATCCGCCTGTGAGCCGTGGCACCGACTTGGACGAGCAATGGTCCACCACAGAGGATCGAAAGGCTGCGAGCTGGCCTGAGCGAAGCGGATCCCCACTGTGGAAACCGTGCTGGTCCCCCCACACAGGGTTCACACGCTGCTGCCGACTCTTCATCCCCCCCCACCCCTCGGGGGCGGGAAGCACTTCCCTATCCGCGGCCTCTGCGGGCCCGACTCCTCGGCCGCGCCCCCATAAATGCAGGGCGGCGTTGCGTGGATGCCCCGCGCGAACATGCATACATACGAGAACGCGCAACCATGGAATCTCGGCTCGGTGTCTGGACCGCGAGGGCATGAACACGGGTATGAATACGTAGCGCCCCGCAGTTGCGATTCAGAATGAGAAGGCGGGCGCGGGGTGGGCCGCGGGTGGGTCGCGGGTGGGTCGCGGGTGGGTCGCGCGTGGGTCGCGGGTGGCTCGCTTGGTGAGTCGCGGGTGAGTCGCGGGTGGGTCGCGGGTGGGTCGCGGGGTGGGTCGCGGGTGAGTACGGGTGGGACGACGACGACGACAACGCAGCAACGCCACGCAACAGCGTCACAAGCAGAATCCGCGCTGGACAGTGAATGCCCGTTCGGCCCCCTCGCTCTGATAGGATGCTCGTCGCTCGCGACTCCCTCCGCCCTGCGGGGGAGGGACCGGAGGCCCAACTGACTACCTACCAGTCCACCCCAACCCAACCCGAAGACCCGAATTTGACCCGAATTTCGGGTTGGGGGGGGTACGGGTTCCATGTGTTTTTTCGACGTTCCCCGACCCCCCCCCCACTGGAAATGAAGGGCAAATTGAGGCCTTCGGGTTGGGTTGGGGTGGTTTGGTGGGTGGTGACCAACGCCTTTTTCGCCTCCGCGAGGTGCAGGCGCGGCAAGCGGCAGGGTGCACAGAGAGGGACCGACGAAGAGGGCGAGGACTGCCGGGACGGCGGCGCGAGGGGCGGAGCTCGGCGGCGCGCCTGCCTATGACTACCTGCCAGACCACCCCAACCCAACCCGAAGACCCGACTTTCGGGTTGGGGGGGGTATGGGCTCCATATGTGTTTTTTCGATGTTCCCGGACCCCCCCCCACTAGAAATCGAGGGTAAATCTGAGCCTTCGGGTTGGGTTGGGGTGGTTTGGTGGGTGGTGAATCCCTGCCCCCAAGATCGGAAAGCCAAAGCGATGACAATCTTGAGGATGTTTCCTCGGAAACGGGAGGAATCCCTGAGGCACCGAGGCGAGGCGACGCCGATCTGAGCGATAGAGGTATGTTCCAGGCTGGCCTCCGGGCTCTGATGGGCCTCCTCTCCGCAGACACGCGACGCCCCGCCGCCCTCCGAGGCGGCCTGCCTCGGGCGTTTCAGGAAGGGGGGGCGTTCAATGGTGCGGGGAGAAGCGTGCACCTGTCGTGCCCACTATGGGCTCCAAGGGTCCCCTCTAGGGCACAACAGGTGCACCCTCATTCACCCCCCCTCGTTTGGCGCCACCCCCCTGACGTAACGCCCGACTGCCCCCCTCTTGCTTCCCCCGCCTCCCAAAGCGCGCCGCCAAGAACGGCAGAGATAGAGGAAAGGGAGCTGTGCACATACACCGATTCTGGCCAGGCCCGTTCTGAGCCCAGGATCGGTGCAGACGCCCTCCTGCCTTGGCCGGGAAGGCATCTGCACTGATCCTGGGCCCGGGATGGGCCTGGCCAAGATCGGTGCATGTGCACAGTTCTGGGGCAACCAACAGGTACCATACCGCTACTTCCTGGACCTCTCCCGGGGTGCGTTCTGACAAGGGTTCCGCGGCGAATCCAGCGGTGGCGACGAGGGCCCTCCCGGAGGCCCAGGCAATGCCAGCGGTAGGGTGCCTATATTCCTCGTCCGAAGATCGGTGCATGTGCATAGCTCTCCTCGTCCGAGAGGTAGGGCACGGCGGCCCCGCCGTACAGCCCTGTGAGCGGCTGCGACGGAGGCTCGGCGCGGCCCGAGCAGCCCCGAAGGGCGGCGGCTTGTCGGTCGGGCCGCTCACAGGGCGCCTCACGGCATCTCGCGGCGCGCCTCCGACGGGCAGCTCATGAATGACGCTGCCTCGCAGTACCTTCGGAACGGGCTAATGGCACACTGATGACCGTCTGATTTGGCGCTAATGATCTCTGCAATCGCGGCAAGGCGAAAGAAACATAAGAAGCGAGCCATTCGAAGATCGTTAGTGGGCCATGAGTTTGCAAAAGCCATGAGAAAGTCATAAGTGGGCCATTCGACGGTCATTACTGGGTCAAGTGAACTAGCGGGCCAAGAGTGGGCCGAAATCATCACTGGGTCATGAGCGGGGTCATTCGTGGGGCCATCAGTTGGGCCATTCGCGGGGCAGTAGTAGGCCACTCGTGGGGAACATGTGGGCCATTGGTTGGAAGAGAACAATAGCGAGGCAGTCATGTCATGTTTCCGATATTATACCAACGACAGCTTCGGGCCGGCCGCGCGCTAGGCGCGTCCAAGAGGCTCCCGAGAAGCCGGCCAAAAGACCCTCGCAGGCATCCAAGAGGCCTCCGACCTGC